CAACATGCCACAGGTGATGTGGAACTTGATATTTTCATAAGAATGGTCTGCGTGGGAGCTTGCTTTCTCGCCTGGTACAATCAGGACGTGGATCTTCTCCGATGAACAAGTGGCCGGCGCAGGGCAAAGTGCGCTGTCCGAAGAAGAAAAGGCCCTCCGAGGAGAATGTGGACAGACGATGGGAGGTACATTTGCACTCGGTACCATGCCGTCAGGGCTGGTTCCGGATACTGTTTGCAATGCCTCACCCCTGTCAGGTGCACGACAAAAGTCAGAGCGAACTACTTACAACTGCCTGGAGAAAATGGATTGGTTGCTGCATGGGCGAGCCGGGGACTGGCTCCACGTCTTGCTGCCCCTTCCGAGAGGGGAGAACCGATCTAATATGATTCCGAACAGGCCAAGAGCAATGGACAAGAGCTCTGTTGATGCATTGGGCAACGTGAGCAAGACCGAACAACGTCAGCGCAAATGGGTTAATCAGGAACACATACTTTCCAAGGCTGCTTTGGCTGGATGTAAGTTCATAAATTCGCAGTCAGGAACCGTTCCTTCCTGGAGTCCTGACAGCGCCGCTGCACAGCCGCCGGCGCTTCACGAACCATACTTCCAGTATCTGGAGCCCCTCAAACTCCGATTCATTGACTGGCTAAAGCACAAGCATGGGGACACTCACCCCACCGCTGCCCAGTGGTGGCGATTGATTTGGACACCAGACCTGGACCAATACGCTCGTCCTATGAGATGATCTGCACTTGCCGTTTTTTCATTGGGGACATGTTAGTGCCGAACACATTCGTCCAGAGACGGGCTGGGACCAGTGGGAACACGAGATGGAAGAAAGGGGACTTGTCATTCCATCAGTTCGGGTGTTGACGGAGAATTCGAATGCAGCAAACCGAGCGTCTGCGTCGAATCAAGTAGGAGACATATGTTCGACACGTTGCTGATTTTCATCATCGGCCAAGCAGCGTTGATGGCGTCATCTCAGCACGTGAAGAGAAGGCTGCGACTTCGGACGGCGTGTGCAAGAAACATATGGCCCAACGACATCCGCTGATCGTCCCGAATAAAGCGCTGCCTTTTTGGCTTGATTTGATTTTATGTTTGGCTGCATGTCTGGCTATAGGTACAGCACTAAAACAAACGAGAGCCCATAAGTTATCGAAGTTGCAAAACACTTTGATCTTAAATATCTATCGACTGTTTCAAATACGAGCCCTGTGGACAAAGACATCATTCAATAAGTGCCGCCGGGGCTATCCGAGCTTATGGATACAATTTGGAACCAACCGATTGATCGAATTTCCACTCATGGAAGGTGGGGGTGGATTCTATTAGTTGTACGTGAAGTCATTTGCTTGTTCATGTCCGCGGGAATCAATGTTGCGTTTCCGGGATATGAAGTGCAGCGTAATCCGCGACCCAGTCAAATCATGCAATATGCTTTTGCATTGGGTTGTCGGATCTCATATGCAGTCGAGACATTTGACTAACCTCATAATTGGATCAACGGATGAGAAATGAAGCATCAGAGACCGCACGACGGAATTGCTCAATTATCCAAGAAGCTATGGTCTTCATACACACGTCTGTGTAATCTCAATTGTGTGTCAAGATTTGTCTTGCCAGCAGCCCTTCTGGGGCCTTCAATGCTGATAATGTTATTGGAATTACCACTTGCCTTAATAAGGAAAAGGAGGAGAGCGACCCAGCCAACTCTCCAACCGAGTCAATCCCAGCCGAGTCGCCAGCAGATGCTGCAACCCCTATTGTCGAAGGCAACCCCGAGCGGCACCGCCGCCCCGGGACAGCGAACGCAATGATACTCTCGCCCAGCATCGTGACCGAGGTACCAGCATGGAAGACAGTCTTATCTGGCCGCCCCCTATGCGCCTGCGCCTGCCGGCCCAGCCGCGTCAGGCACCAGCGCTGGCTGGGTTGATTTTGACAGAATCCAGTCGTGGGCGGATGAATCCTGGACTGATGAGCCCATCCCTGAAAGGCTGGCTGTAGAGCCGCCCGGCGGCCGCGCGAGCGATAGCGGCGGCCCCAGGCCGGCCGCGGGCGGCGTCTACGACGCGACCGTCGACTACGAAGACAGGAATGAGAATGGCGAAATTCAAGGATATTATGTACATGTATCCCGGCATCAGCGAGTCACCGGCCTCGGCCAAACGTGGCAGTGGTTTAGTCTGGACGAGTGCAACGACAAGTTCCAGCGTGACTCTGGGATGCCAAGGACCTTGCCAGAGCCCCCACCGCCGCCTACGCCAAAGGCGAGACCGCCGGAGAAGGGCCAGAGCAAGAGTGAGCCAAGTTGCTGGAGTTCGAGCAGAAGAGAAAACAGCTCCTCCAGGCATCAGAACCAGTGGCGCTGGAACAGAAGTGATCCCTGGGACGACTCTCGTGAATGGAGAGGTCGCTGGAGAAGGCGATGCAGCGCAATGGAACCAGTGCGACGTAGTCGATGCTGGTCCACACTACGTCGTGGAGCGGGTGCACCAGGTGTGCGTGGGCACTGTGGCCTGAACTGGAAATATGATACCGGAGACACACCCAATCAGATTTTTAAAATCTTCCAATTGTTCCCTTTGTAATCGGGCTATAGGGCGGGCGATAGGGCCATAGGGCTATGGGGCTATAAGGCTATAGGGCTACTGGGCTATAGGTCTATAGGGCTATAGGACTGTGACCTATAGGGCCATAGGGCGATGGGGCTATGGAGCTTTATGGGCGATGGGGCTATGAGGCTATAGGGATATAAGGCGATTCGGGCTATAGGGATATAAGGCTATAGGGGGACAGGGCTATACGGCTATAGGGCTTTAGGGCTACTGGGCTATTGGGCTATTGGGCACCCCCGGGCACCCCCGGGCACCCGAGCTCCCTGGCCCGGCCACCGAAATCGGCCACGCACCTCAGCGGCCACCCGGGCACCCGGGCACCGCCGGGCACCCGGGCACCCGGGCCCGGCCTTTGGGATCGGCGACGCACCCCACCGAATCATCCTTTAAACCGCTAGGACCCCTACAAAGGCAAGCTCTGTATGGGGAATTCGCTCAGGTGGGGAACGTCGGGTTTCTTTGGCCTTTGGGGTTGGGATTCGGCCTTTCTTCAGCGGTAAAATGCGTTTGGGGTTCGCTGCGGTGGCTGTGCATATGCACAGGCCAGGTGGGTTGGGGGGTCGGGGCGGCTCTGCGGACCCCGCCGCGGGGGGAGTCAATGCGCCCCTTCCGCACCACCAATGTTTCGCCCTGCCTGCTCTATCCTTGCGCGCGCTGCCTGCCTGCTGTACTGACTCACTACTTCTGCTTCCGCAGCTATACTACTTTGGCTCTAGGGAAACGTACGAGGAGCGGGCCAGCGGCGCGCGCGCGTGCGTCGGCCGGCGGGCCGGCCTCCTCCTTTCAGTGTTACCTTAGTGCATGCTTGACGGCACTATCCCTTCTTACCCTTGTCATCTGCGGAGCCCACTGACCATGATATATTATCGGAACATCTCGCAGGGATTCTGAAACTGCAGGCATAATATTTGTGTATATATATAGGTGTACGTACACGAGTATGTTAATGAGCATGTATATGTATATGCGTAGGTACGTGTATATCTTTATGAACACACATAGGCGTAAACGTTTGCACAAGTGTATAGGTGTGTTTGCGCATGTGCACCTTCAGGCCTGTATATGGTTGTGTGCATGTATACGTACATGCCGATGGACACGCACATACATGTGCATATGTACATGAATATGGTTATGCATGTGTATATGGATGTGCATGCATATACATAGATGTGTTCCTACGGATATGCGTATGCATGTGGAGGGGTCGATGTAGTGATGTGTGTCTAAGCGAATGTCTATGTTCATATCTGTGTATGAGTATATGTAGGTGTATATGTATATGTATATGTAGAGGTAGTTGCCTACATGTGTATACGGCCATGGTTGTGAATGTGTGAATGTATATGTGTATACGTAACTGTATGAGTATATGTGTATACATACATGTGCAATCCTGTACATGTGTATGTACGTGTGCGTGTATATGTGTATGTCCGAGTGAGGAGGCCGAACGGTCGTTCATTGTCCGTGGGTGCGTGGCTGAAATGGGGATAAATGGTGAGGATTCTGCTTGTTGCGATGTTGTTTGCCGTCGTCGTCCCACCTTCGGCCCAAACCGCGACCCACCCCGCGACCCACCCCGCGACCCATCCCGCGACCCACCCCGCGACCCATCCGCGACCCAACCCGCGACACACATCGCGACCCACCCCGCGACCCACCCGCGACCCACCCGCGACCCACCCGCGACCCAACCCGCGACACATCCGCGACCCGCTCGCGACCCACCCGCGACCCACTTGCGACCCACCCCGCGACCCACCCCGCGATCCACCCCGCGATCCACCCGCGACCCACCCGCGAACCACCCCGCGACCCACCCTGCGACCCACCCGCGACCCACCCGCGACCCAACAGCGACCCACCCGCGGCCTACCCGCGACCTACCCACATTGGTTTCACGGCGTCTGCGGCGGGTTTTTTTGCATAACTTGTGGAATTTTGGCGCTTGCGGCTGGTTTCTCCAGAGTCTCGTGAAATGCTGTCGTTCCCACCGCCCCCTCACTTTTATCCGCATCTGCGGGGTGCTGCGTGTGTGTATGTGTATCTGTATAGATCTATGGATTGCACCATTTCGACTGCACAGTATCGATTGCACCACGTAGACTGCACAACATACGTCGCTAAAGACATTCCGCTTGAGCCCGTTATGTATTTTCCAGGTGTTTCATGGTTTTGCCTCTTTGGGCCTCTCTAGAGGCCTCCTTAGGAGTATGTTGGATGCTTCTTTGGTGCCCTTGAGACATCTTGGGAACGTTTTCGAGTCTTGGGGGCTCTTTGGATGGTCTCAGGCCGTCTTGTAGCTGTGTTTTTTTATTTCGCTGGTAATCATGTTTCTTTGCAGCCGCTGACCCTCATAGTGCTTTCAGCCACGGCCGTGGCTGTTTCGAAATACGCGTTGTCGGATTATTCAGGCACGTCCGATCTTCTGCGCTATATTCTCGGCTCCAAGACAGATGGACATTGAGCGCGCGCGCGCGAGAAACGCGCGCAGTGAGATCCTTCGCACTCCATAGCAGGCCTGGCTCGACCTTGGCCGCAATGGGGACCGCTATCGGGCGGGACACCTGCCCGCTTGACGGGGCGCCCGCGGGAGGCGAGGCGCCAGTCGCGGGGGCCTGGCTGCAACGTGCGATCGCTCTTTGCCCGTGCGCCATTGCCCGTGCCAAGACGCCCAGGGACCCGAGGCCGCTTGCTGCTGGCAGTTGCCGCTGGCTGCTGGCCACCACCAGCTGCTGGCCGGCACTGCCCGCCGCAGGGCGGCCGCCGCCGCCGGCGGCCGCCGTGGACCCGCCGCGCGCCGCGTCGCCAGAGGCCCCCGCAGTGCAGCCGCGAAGGGGCGCGCGCGTCGGCAAGGGCCGGCCTCCGATTGCGCCGAAGCCCGCGCCCAAGCCGGTCGCGCCAGTTCGGCGGGCAAGCATCGAGCCCGAGCCCGACATGGAGGAGCTGTGCGTGTCCTCCGACAGCGGTTCGCTCACCGACGAGTACGAGGAGAAGGAGAGTCTTTCCGCGGCGAGCTCCGCCGAGGACGGGTACGTGGCGGGCAGCAGCTCGACGGCGTCGGACGAAGCAGCAGACGCTGAGCTTGCCCAGCTGCTGAGCGGCGGCCGCGGCGTGGCGGAAGGTGCTTGCCCGTTGCCCCGCGTGCCCATGACCATCGACTTTGACACAGCGTGTGTTTTAGTTCGGGCGTCGATGGCACAATCGCCCAGCGAAGTCAACTAGAGCTATCCTTGCCGCTTCGCGCACTCCTCCATCAGCCCCTCCGGAACAGAGAGGGCGGGGCAGCCGCCAATTACAAGATCCGGATCTGCTTGAGCAGGGCCAGAAGTAAATCATAATAGCCTTCGCGGATCTTTCGATACGGGAGCCTTTTGGCAGCTTGCATGGGCCGTGTTGGGGCCCCATTGTTTGATGGCCTTGGTGCCCTGTTTGGGCCTTCTTGGGGCCCTCTTGAGGGCCCCAGGGGGCCTACAGGGGCCACCTTGGAGGATATCGATCCAATATTGGGAGTTAATCTAATGGGGTCCCCCCCTCTGGAGCCCCGAGAGTCGCCTCTTGGGGCTCTCTCGGAGCGCTCTTGGGCGCTCTTGGATCCGTCTTGGAGCTCTCTTGAGCCACTTTGGGGGCTCTCTTGGGCCAGCTTGGAGCCGTCTTGAGGCCTCGGAAGTCCATCAGAAGCGAAGAGCCTAGAATGCAACAAACATTTGTTGTGCTTAGGTCTTGTACGGTTGGGAAGCTCCGTGGCCACTTGGTGCAGTCTTGGAGTGGTCTTGCGTTCATCTTGGGCTCTCTGAGGCCCTGTTGGAGCCATCTTGGGTCATCTTGGACGCTCCAATCGGTCGCCCCTCCCCGTCCAGATCCAGTGACAACGCAACTGTTTGGCTCACTCCCACCCGCCCTCCCAACACATTCAGTAGTAATTACCCGAGTCTTAGCATGGTCAGCGGTCGTCTTTGGATGGGCAGCTACTTGGAACCAATACGGTCCCCAGGTGCGAGACGCTGGGGCGAGGTGCGCCGCGCGTGCCAGGAGCGCCGGGCGCGCCAGGCGCCCCCTGGGGCCCGAGCCAGGCTCGCCAGGTGCGCCGGATGCGTCACGTGCTCCACGTGCACCGATTGTGCAGCATGCTCCAGCCGCGCCAGGGGTCGCCATGTTCGTCGGAAACCAGAACATGTACATTACCAATGGCGGGCTGTTTCTCAATCCCAGGACTTTTTTGCGGGTCGGGGACGACGTCGGGGTGGTGTGGTGTATATTTTGTTTTTCCGTTTCCAGGGGAATCAATGGCGCATGTATGCACCAGCGTCCCGTGTACACCAGGATCCGCGTTCATGTGCAAAGTTCAGTGCAGGGCCGGAAAACGCGTCGGTGTATAGAGTTCGGTTCCCTAGTCCGGAGCGCGCGCAGAGTGTGCCAGGCGCACCCGCGCACATCGGGAAACATGTCGGCCTCACCGTCTTTGTCGAACACCAGTGCACAAATGCGGCGGAGTGGCCATCGCGATGTTTGGTGGGCTTGCGCACAGCAGACAATATGCCAGCATCCCTGCCGTCCCTGTCAAAAGCCACTAAAGTGATCACAGGGTACCCGCCGCATAAATCAGATTTAGCCGCGAAGTGCAGTTCGTATTTTTTGATAGGGAAGGTGGCATTGCGCACAGCAAGCCATGTGATGGCACCCCGGCCGTCCCTGTTAAAACACAACAACAAATTGCCCGCGGGCCCCCGAACATGACCTTACACCTTGCAGCAACGTCCAGTTCGCTTTGTTTGTTGAAAGGGATGGTGGGGGGGTGCCATCATTGACCCAGGTTGGTCGCCGATCGAGTGGGGGAGCGCCTGATATTAATAAGAAGCAGTGATCAAGTTCCTCCCCCTTGCCTCCCCCCCTCCCCTCCTCCCCACCTCCTCTTCGCCCTCCTTTGTCCAGCGTGTGCAGATTGGGCAGTTTCCTCATCGTCTCTTGCAGACGGTGGGACGATGTGAAGTGACACTTGAGGCCGCTCTCCGACACCCAGGTGTTGCTGCCGCCAGCTCAGTACTGCAGCCGCCCGCACGGTGGAGGAAAGGGAAGGGAAAAGGGGGGAGGGTGAGTGGCCGTGGTGTTTCTCAGGCCGCTGAGCCTTCTTGGAGGGGAGCTCAGGCTGGATGTAGGTCGCGCGCCCGTCGTGCCCTGGACGGTGGGTTGGCGTTTGTGTCCCTGCCTCTTCCTTCAGCCGCAAGAATCTCTCTCGTTTTTTTGGTGGTGCGCCTCTTCCTTCAGCCCCAAGAATCTCCATCGTTTTTTTTGGTGGTGCGGGGAGGCCCCTCAGCTCAGTCGCACACGATCAGACGAACCTAGTGCCCCCAGAGCTCGATTCCGATTGCGATTCCTGCCTCCGCCAGCTTGTTTTCTGCACAGTCTGGCGCTTCTTTTTCTGCGTCACAGTCGCGATGCGCGCTGTGTTGCTGGAGTTCTGCTTGGCTGACACCATCGATCACGTCGTGTATGCACCAGGCTTGACTGACTGACTGACCGATCCAGCTACCCCCCTAAGTACGGCCGTATCGCTCACTCCACCCTCCCACCCACCAAGTATCAGGAGGAAACAAAAACACACAGACACCATTATTCGTCGATACCCCAGAAAATAGTGGAAACTATGGGAAGCGGGGGGAAGACAGAAACCCAGAAGATATGGGAACATCTGGGGAATTCTTTTTTATATGTGTCTATTTATTTGTGTGTCCCAGGGCCCCTTCAAAATAAGTAGCACCCGAGGCTCAGCACGGGCAAGGGCCACCAGTTAGCGTCACCGGAAGTCGATGCACGCGCCAGCCAGGTGCGCGACGCGCCCGCGAGGTGCGCCGCCCGTGCCCGTGGCACCCACATCAGCTTTGTCAGATAACAGTGCAAAGCGATCCCAGGGTGCCCGCGCATGATCGTTGATGGGGAGTGTGCTTAGTATGGTTTTTTGACAGGGGCAATGGGCTTGCGCGGCCTGCGCGCAGCAGGCAATATGCGACCCCTCCCACCCCCCCCCCTGCCCCCGGCCCAAAAACAATGCAGCCTTATCGCCGGGTGCCCCTGCGTGATCCAGACAACGTGCACACTGCATTGATGTTTTGACAGGCATCGTGGGATGTATGTTGTCATGGTTCCAGGTTTGTCCTTAGTCAGATGGGGGAAGGGGCGTACATTCATAAGGAACAGAGGGGAGAAGGGTGGTGTTGTGTTAGAGGAAGCATTCTCAACCAGCTCCTCATTCAAGGGCTGGTGGGATTTGGCGGGATTTTGCACCCTTTCGCCGTTCGCTCGACATTGTTATTCGCAGTGCGAATGTGTCTGTGCGTGTGTGTGTGTGTGTCTCTGATCGGTTTGAGGGATCGGGTGCGCGCGCGTTTCGTGTCTCCTACCGCTGTGCGCCGGCCCGCGACACCACAAGTGTCAGTGCGTGTGTGTGTGTGAATGTGTGAGTGCGTGAGTGCGTGAATGCGTAAATGTGAGAATGTGCATGTTTGAATGCGCGAGTGCGTGAATGCGGGAAGGTGGGAGTGTGGGAGTGCGTGAGAGTGGGAATGTGTGAATGCGGGAGTGCGTGAATGCGTGAATGTGTGAATGTATCGGAGGTTGGGGGGGAGGTCGCAGTGAAACGGAGACCCCCCACTGGGAAATCGGTTTCGGTTTCGTGTTCGTGTCGTGCGTGCGGGCGAGGCGAAGCTGCGCGTGATCCTCCTGTAGCTAGGCCGAAGTAGGAGCGCTGTGATCACAACACATCGTTTTCCGGCGCCTGCGGCGGGCTTTCTCATTTTGCTTTTGAGGTCTATAGTGAGATCGACATTGAGATTCACCGATAGGTCGGTCGACGGATAGGTAGATAGTGGGATCTCATCGCCATCGCGATCATCATTGTGGTGGAGGGAGACTCTGATAGAGAGGGAGAAAGAAAGAAAGAGAGGGCGAGAGAGAGAGAGAGACAGAGAGGGAGAGAGAGAGAGAGAGAGACGAGAGAAAGAGAGAAATGAGATCAAGGTGACAGGCTGGAGGTCAGTCAGGGTGGGCATTTGATCTCAATCCCTCCCCAACCTCCTTATCGCCCGCAGGGCGGTCGTATAGGTACATACAACGGCGCACCGGGCCGGGGGCCGATGGCCGGAACCTCGACCGCAAATGTGGGCACCGGGGCCCAGGCCCGCCTCTGGGAGGCCTAAAATCGCCCCGGGAAGCCCTCAGACAGCAATCCCGGTGGCCCCAGACGGTCTCGAGACACGCCCAAGACGTCGTCCAGAGGGGTCTCTGGCGACGCACGATGCGTTTTAACTCCCCCGGAGGCCCTCAAGACGCCCCAAAAGGCCTTTAAGATGCAGCCCAAGAGCGCCCCGAGAGGGAAAAACATTGTTTTGGTTTTTGTTTCAATGTTGTTTGCATTCTCGCTGTTTCGTGTTTCCGAGGCCCAAGCACCGCCAAAGAGGTTCCCCAAACTGCTCCGAGACGGCCCAAGAGGCCCCCAAGAGGACCCCAAGACGGCCCAAGAGAGCCCCGAGACGGCCCCAGAGCCGCCCAAGACGGCGCAAGAGGGTCCCAAGAAGGCCCCAAGTGGGGCCCAAGTGAGGGAACGCGAACTGAAAAATCAAGCTCTCCGCCCCAAGATGCCCCCAAGAGGTCCCAAGAGGCCCCCAGGAAGCCCCCAAGAGGTCCCACGAGGCCCCCGAGAGACTCCAAGAGGCCCCCAAGAAGCCCAAAAGAGGCTCCAAGAGGCCCCAAGACGGCACCCAGGAGGCTTCGAAACTCTTTCTAAGAGGCCCCCGAAGACATGCCAAGAAGGTCCCATGACGACTTCAAGAAGCAGTCCAGGATGCTCCGAGGAGGCCCCAAGAAGCCCCCCAAAAAGCCCAAGAGGCCCCCAGGAGGCCCCCAAGCGGCCTCAAGCAGCATCCAGGAAGCGCAGCGGTCCAGGCGGGGGCCAAACGAACATTTCCAATCCTGGGCTCCTGGAGCTCAACAGGAACCCCCACGTAACTCGCAATACTCCCCCCCCGACGTTCCCGAGACGCCCCGAGACGCAGGTCTTCATGGGTTTTCATCCCACGTCCGTGTTGAAGGTCTTGGGGCTGGATAACATGCATTCAGAGTCAAAAGTCGAAGAACACCGTAAGAACTCGAAGTCGACGACGACGAGGACTAACGTCGGACGGTTGACAGGCGACGACAGGCGACGGAGGACGGACGACAAACGACGACGCAGACGATGGCGACTAGGGAAGCGACGACGACGGACGAGCGACGACGGACGAAGGACGCAATCGTGGCTAATACGTATGGGCATCTCAGGCGTTGCGGTGGAACCCTCAATGCGATTTACTACTGGGTGCACGACGGCGACAGCGTCATCCGAACAAGCGGTGGTCGGATGAGATTGTACATCACGCAGGGCCCGACTGGATTTCCAAATCCTTCTCCGACCAATTGGATTTGTTTAGGAAGTTAATGTAGGCAGGACGGCGCCTGACCCTTCTTCTTTGTAGTAGGTTTTATA